CGCAGCAGGGCACCCGGCGACGGCCAGTTCCTCTGCCCCGTGTGCCGGCAGCTGTCGTCGCCCGCAGCCCTGCGGCCCAACTGGGCCCTGGCCCGGCTGACGGAGAAGGCGCGGCGCCGGCGCGAGGGCCCCGTGCCCCCCGGCCTGTGCAGCCGCCACTGGGAGCCGCTGCGGCTCTTCTGCGAGAACGACCAGCGGCCCGTGTGCCTGGTGTGCAGGGAGTCCCAGGAGCACCAGGACCACTCCATGGCGCCCGTCGACGAGGCCTTCGAGAGCTACCGGGTGAGCTCGCCGTTAGGGGGCTGCGGGTATCGCCCGGGAATGTTTACCGGTTACTTAACTTTAATAAAAGACGCACCTGGTGGCTGCCCGTTCCATTGGAGGCATGAAAACCCCCTTGAGGCTCAAAGAAGTTATGCTCCATGGATCTTAGAGCTGAAGTTAAAACTGGGAGTGGGGAGGGCGGTGCAGAGCTCATCATCACTGCAGAATTTTCAAGGAACTGGCCCTGGGGAGCTTCTAGTTTAAGACAAACACACTGAGGGGGTGTTTGTATACCAGTGCTGTCCAATACATACATAAGGCAAACCACATTTTTAATAATATATTTTATTTAACCTAGTTATCCAAAATACTGTTTAACATTGTTATGAAGAATTATCAGTGAGATATTTTACATTGTTTGTCAAAGTAGGTCTTTAAAAATCTGTGTGTACCTCATTTGTAGCACATAACGATTCGAACTATCTACATTTCAGGTGCTCAGTGGATAAGGGATGTTGTATTGTACAGTGCAGGTCTATCCTATGGATGTTATAGACGACTGATGATTTGGGAAATGCATGGTTTGGAGTGATGGGGCTGGATTTTGTTACTAGCTTCCTTAATCAGTTGGGAAAATCACTTAATGTTTGAATCGTAGATTATTTGTCCTATCTCATACATTAGTTAAGATGCTTCAGTTGAATAAATTAGTTTATCCTACCCTGCTCCAGCCACACTGGCCTGCCTGCTTTTGTTTCAAAGCTGTTCTCTTTCTCTACCCACACCTTCCATTCTTTAGATCTTACTTGCTTTTAGCTTGAAGACCTTCCTTGATCATCTTTTCCAGAGTAGCCCTCCCCCTTCCATTACTGATGGTGTAACTCCAGTGGTCTCCAACAGAATTGGTATCTAGTAAGTACTGGTTGGATGCACTAATTTAATGATACAAGTTAAAGTGTTTTGTAAACTATAAAATGCTGTACAGTTTAATCAGCTGACTACAAACAGGAAACATGTAAAGCTGGACAATGAAGTATATATACAGTAATTTCTTAATTCAGTAACATTTACTGATGCTTACTGTATGCCAGGCATTGTTCTAGAATCTGGACATAAACCAATAAGAAAGACATAGGCCATGTCCTGTAGGGTACATAAACATGTACACCAACAGTTTCACTGTGTGAGAATTATCAAGGTTTGTACCAAGGATATAGAAAGTCTGAGGTCAGAGTGCTCAGTGAGGAGTGAGGCATTAAACATGAGTTCAGTCTTGAAGGGTGAGTACAGCAGGGGATATTCAAGCCAAGGGAACAGCATATTCAGTGTGGCGGTGTGGAACGGCATGTGATATAAGAGGACTGGAGGTTGCTTGGTACTTCTAGAGTGTAGAACATGGGAGGAATGATGATGGGAGTTGAGGTTGAAGGCAGAGTTAAGGGCCATGTCATGAAGGATCTTGTTCACAGCTTTCTCTTTGAGGCAATGGGAAGTCATTGAAGGATTTAAAGGCAGGGAATGACACCATCAGTTTTTTGTTTTAGAAAGATCACTTTGCTATCTATGTGGATGGAGAAGACCAGTTAGATTGCTGTTGCACCATTTCAAGCAGGAGGCAATAAGGGGCCTGAATTAGTGCAGGCAGGAATGTTGGAGAAAAGGGGATGGATTCATTATGAGCACTGGAGTTGAATGACTTGATGACTAATGGGACTTGGTGGTGAGGGAGAGAGAGAGAGGAGTCTAGGATGGCAGTCCAAGTTTCTAGTGCTCATTTTGGGACATGTTGAATGAAAGTAACTGTGACAGGAAGTCCAAGGAAGAGGGACAGGAGGCAGAAGGTGTCAGAGGCTTGAAACACTATTTTTGAATTGTTAGGCTGTTCTTAAAGTCATAGAAGTAAGCAGATGAGATTCCCCCAGGGGAACCACATAGACAGTAAGAAAAAGGGGCATAAAGAGAAGCTTGGGATATACCAGTGCTTAGTAGCCAGCAAAAGAGAATGAAAGGACCCATCAGATAAATGGAAGGGAAAATACATTTGTGGGTGAGGGCTGAGGCAAATAAAGTGGATGGGTATGAAAGGGGAACATGGTCCTTAAATCTTAAATCTTCTGCAATAATAATAATAGTAACTATCAGTTATTGATTATGTACCACCCATGGTTCTAAACATTTTCCATACAGTAATTCTTTAATCCTCATAGCAACTCTCTTAGGTGGATTTTTATTATCCCCATTTTGCAGATGAGCAACTGAGACACAGAGATGTAAGGTCACTTGCCCCAGGTCACAGAGCTAGGAAGTAGGAAAGTTTAAAGTGAGGTCCTCTATCTCCTAGTCCATTGTACTTTTCACTAGCCAAGAAGACTTCTTGGAAGAGGTGGGATTTCAGGATTAAGTAATATGTCCAACAGGTGGGGAGTGAGTAGGTAAGAGTAACATTGGGATGATTGAATAGCATAAGGTTGACTGGGTGGGTGTTCAGAAGTCATGTCATTACTCAGAATTCTCTGGTATCTGTCCTACTCTGCACCCTCTGCTTACTCCCTGCTCCATTTAGCCATCTACAACTCCATCCCTACCCCCAGTTAGTTAGAAAAACATGAAGTTCCTCTTGGGTGGAGCTACCCTGTTTCCAAGCATACCATTTCCAGCACATACTCAGATGGGTGGACTGTGTCTTAAAAGTTGGGAGTTCCCTAATCCATGGAAAATATCCCCCATCCTGTGCCTACACCTGAGCCCCACAAACAGTTTGTCAGATGCTTCCTCTCAGGATCTGTGCTCCTGAGCACTGCATCCAGAAAACGGGCTTTGATGAATTTCTTAGTCCACTCTTCTTGCTCCCTTGGGCCACACCAGTGGCTCAGGATACACATTAGGATGACTTGGGAGCATTTAAAAAAATACCCAAGCCAGGCTTCCCCTCACTTTCTCTAGGCATTTTGATTCACGTGGTGCGGCCCTTGGCATCAGCATTGTTTAAAAATTCTCTAGGTGATTCTAATTTACATATAGGGTAGAGAACCATGGACCTACATCTTAATACTTTCACAGAGGGAAATCTCAAAAAGTCTTTTAGAACACAAGTTGGTGGTGGTGGAGGAGAAAAAGAAAGAACAGAGAAAGAGAAATAGCTTCATAAACTTGAGGGAGCTGATTATTTGCACAGAAAAGGCTTCCAAGCCACTGATCTTACCCTCATGCCAGTCTGATGATTCTCGGAGCTAATCCCTTCATTGCTATTAATTAATTTAACAAATATTTCTTGAACACATAGCACTGGGAATAGAGTGGTGAACAAGACAGGTAAAGACTTTTCATGGAGTGCATAAGTCTAGTTGGGTTGGGGGGTGGAAGGTAGACAATAGACAAATAAATGAAGTAATCACAGATTGTGATATGCTGTGAAAGAAATAATGTACCATGCCAGAGAAGTAACAGGGTAGCTTTCTCTGAGGAGATGGCATTTCAGTTGAGACTTGATGGATGAGAAGGATCCAACCATCTAAGGAATGGTGGGAAGAACATTCCAGGCATTGGACAGAAAGTGCGAAGACCCTGAGGCTGGGAAGAGCTGGACATATTTATGGAACCGAAAGAAGGTCTAGGCTCCGGGAGCATCATGAGTGAAAGAAAAAGCATAAGATGAGTTGGGAGATGTAGGCAAGGGTGGGATTATATGGGGCCGTAATAAAGGTGTTTGAATTTTCCTGGTGAGGAAAGCCAATGAAGAATCTTAGGCAGGGTAGTGAGGTGACCTGATTGGTTTTTAGAAAGGTTATTCTGGCTGCTTCATGTATATTGGATGAGAGAAGGACAAGATTGGAAGTAGGAAACGAGTCATGGGGTTATTATAGATGTCCAGACAAGAGATGATGGTGACTTGAACTAGAGGGTGGCAGCGGGGATGGTAAATGGGCTGAGTTGATGTCTGTTTTGGAGGTACATCTACCTGCTTTGATTGAATGCAGAGGTTACAGTGACTGAAATGCACAGAACCTAAGAGCTGGGATGGTATTTTAAGAGACCATTTAATCCAGTTGTCTTCAGCTATGGCTCAGGAAATGTGTGAGGCTGACTTCCTCTGATACATAACTAGTTTCTGAAGGTCTAGACTGAAACTCCTATCTGATTTGAAATTTAATGTTAATTTAATTACATGATCACAAGCAGCAAATATCTTCATTCAGTAAGTGTATGCATTTTTATTATACTTATGGTCTTATATACATAACATTTTCTGATGTTAAATGAAAAGAAAATGATTTTTAAGAAAACATTAGCCAGCTTTGAAATGCTTAGTGTTGCCCTCCTGCCACCTCTTAGCAGTTTCTGTTATTGCAGGGAAGGAGTTTTCTAATCTCCTCAGAGGGTTCCCAAGTTTACTCAGGAACCCTATTTAAATCCCAAGATTAGAAAGATTTAGTTAGAATCTTGGATAATAGAACCAGCTATGTAGGATAATTCATGCCTACTAGAATTGTTAAAGGTTTTTAAAAATTGAAAACTTCAATTAAAAAAATTATTTAATTTTTTTCACTATCAAATAAAGGTGAAAACTTAAAAAAGATCTTGGTCAAAATACAAAGGAGCTGTTTATCTCATTACAAGCCTCATATATACATCAAATTTGACAGTGATCACAAAGTGGCCGTTATATAATTGAATAAAGGAATAAAATTATTTGAGATAATTACTTAGCTTACTGAGTAGCAGGATTATATAACTATCTGAGTGAACAACTAGGGGTAATAAATAGCTTTTGTAATGCTAGAAAACAGTATATTAGACAATAGCGTAAGTGATTTTGTGATGTATAACAACCACTATATGAATTCCTTTATAACCTAATGTTATTTTCCCCCAACATTTTACTATGCAGTTTTGAAGCATACGTCAAAGTTGGAAGCATATTATAATAATACCAGTATACTTAAATCTAGGTTCTGCCATTAACATTTTATTCTATTTGTTTATCACCTACCTATTCATCTGTCTATGTCTTCTCTGCATCCATCAATTCTTATTTCCTTTTGAAGCATTTTAAAGTTAATTGCAAACAGTGCACTTCCTCCTATACTTTAGCGTGGCTGTCATTAACTAGAGTTAACATTTGTTTATGGTACTTTTTGAGGTAAAATTTAATGCAATTAAATACACACATCTTAAGTGTGCATTTTGCTGATCTTTGACAAATGCATGCCCCCACGCCCTTCTCAAGATAAAGAACATTACCATCACCCCAGAAATCTCCTTCATGCTCTTTCCCAGTTAGTTCCTGCTCCCTCCCCCTACCCAATGCAACCACTGTTCTATTTTTTTCCTCCACCACGGATTAGTTTTGCCTGTTCCAGAACTTCATATAAATGGAATCATATTGTCTGTACTCTTCTATATAGGCTCCTTTTGCTCAGCATATTGATTTTGAAATTCATCCATTTGTGTGTATCAGTAATCTGTTACTTTTTGCTGCTGAGTAGTATTCCTCAGATGACCATATCTCAGTTTGTTTATCCATCTTCCTGTTAATGGATACCTGGGCTGTTTCTAGTTTTGGCTCTTTTGAATGAAGCTGCTATGAATATTCTCATACAGGTCTTTTTGTAGACATGTTTTGATTGAGATATCTCAAGCTCAATTTATTCGAGTAGAATTTATTTTCTTCCCTTCCATTTACATACTGCTCCTTCCTATATTTTCTAATTTGGTACCTAACCTACAATCCACCTAGTTACTCAAGCCAGAACCCAGGGGTTAAATCTGGACTCCTTCTTCGTGCAACCTGGGATAAGGAGTAGAATTGCTGGCCTCTAGGGTTAATGTATGTTTAGTTTTATGCTAGACCTTTTTCTGAAGTAGTTGTACCATTTCACACACCCACCAACATTGTATTAGAGTTCTGGTTGCTCCACATCCTTGTTAACTTTGGTGTTGTGTTTTTAAATGATCTAACTTTAAGCAGTGTCATTTATAAATGATTGGAAGAAAAGTGATACCTATTAGTTTTAATTATTTTCCTAGGGAAGAATTAAAAATTAATTATACTGCTTATTTCATTGTTCTATTCATTTCTTTTTTTTTCTTTTAAGCTCTTTACTTTGACATACATGAAGACTTACAGAAAGCTGCCATAGGCCACTCTTCAGCATTTCACACTTTTCACCAGTTTTTAATTTAAATATTCTTTTGCTTTGTGTATAAGAAATCATTATTTCATAGTTTTTCACCAGTCACTCATTACAGCTTCTCTGCATGATTTTCACTCTCTGCAGACTCCTTGCAGTTGCTTCCAGTTTTAGCCTTGGTGCTTTTTTTACTCTAGAATTCTACTGGGTGATTTAACTCACACCTATGGCTTCAGCTGCTACCTGTGCTCTAATCCCTAAATCTGCTTCTTTAGCTCAGATCTTTTTGACTCTTAACTGCTAACTGTATCCACTTGGATGTTGCACAGATATCTCAAGCTCAATTTATTCAAGTTGAATTTCTTTTCTTCCCTTCCATTTACGTACTGCTCCTTCCTATATTTTCTAATTTGGTACTTAACCTACAATCCACCTAGTTACTGAAGCCAGAACCCAGGGGCTAAAGCTGGACTCCTCCTCCGAGCAGCCATTTGGCCATCAGCTCCTGTTGACTTGCCTCTTGTGTGTGTCTAATCTGCCTGCTTCTGTCTCTAAGGCGTGGCTGACGTTCTGCTATCAGGCACTTTCCCTCTGTAGCCCACTTTGTTAATGCCGACTGACTTGTTTTATTTTTCAATCACTTATTTGTGTTTTTAAGTTACAAAAATGATATACCCCTCCTATAGAAATTCAAACAAAAATTTATAAAATCTATAGTCTCCCCTCCTCCCAACTTTCAAGGCATTTTTATCCCCCAGGAAAACCAGTGGTAGTAATATTTTGAGGTCTGTCCTCCAGCACGCTCCTTATACTCAAGCGCACAGCAGCACACACACTCTGCAAGACACAACTATACAATGCTGGTGTTTTACAGCTTCGTTTTAACGTAGTGTAACGTGTCAATACATAGACAGCTATGTGAAATTGATGTAGAGGATCAATATACCATAATTTATTTAATCATTTCCCATTGATGGATAATGAATAATGCTGCATTGAACATTCTTATACATTGATTATTTTAGTAGTGTTTTGTTGCATAGATTATTAGAAGTAAGATTATGCACATTTTAAATTTTGTTAAATCTTGCCAGTGCCCTTCAAAAAGATGGCAACTTTATACTTTCCTACTATTATGGTGCCAGAGGCTTTTTCTGCTTTGCCAGTACTAGGTATTTATTAATCACCTAACAATGTTCAGTTTTTGCCAACTTAATAGGCAAACTCTATATAGTGTTGTGATGATTTAAGACCAGAATATTTCTTATTCTGAAGATGGCCTGTGACTGTCTTCAACATTTTCAAAATATCATTGCCTGTTTGGATTAGGTGTCTTTTACCTCTTGAATAAGGAAGTTGTTTGGAGAGATGATTTCTGTCTAATATGTGTTTCTGCTGGCAGGAAAAACTTAAACAGACTCAATGTAGTCTAGCGATCAAGATGGAGAAAGCCATGAAGTTACAGGACATGGAAATGAAGAGTGCTGCAGAGTGGAAGGTAACAGCAGAATTGGTTAGACATTTCTTGCTTCTGAGGACCTTTCAGTCTGTGGCTGCTTATGTAGTTTCGCTGGGATGAACTTATAAATGACATCAGTTGTCAGTCCCCTTGCAGATAAAGTGATAGAACAGAAAGTATGCATCTGTCCCTACTGACCTGTGAGTTCCATATACTTCATCCCCTCCTCTACTTTAAGGTCCCACTTTTTGCTAAGGTTGGAATTGGTTTGGGTCTATGGCATTGTAGTAAGTAAATGGACTGTGCTTTCAGAGATGCTAATCTAGTTGGGAGGCATGATGTGTGGGCACACACACATGTCTAAAGATTTAACAAAACTGAACAGTAGGCATTCTGAGGGCTAAACTAAATAGATGTGAAAGTGCATTTTAGTTTAAAAAGTATACAAACAAGGCATTGCTAGCAATAGTAGAGACTCAGATGTTACAAAGAATGAATGAATACTGTAAAGACTAGTATAAAGATATCAAGTAAGTGTAAATAGAGAAGTAGTGGAAATTTGTGGGGAGTGGGCAGGGGCTTTTCTGGAGGAGGTGATTAAAATGGAAGGACCATGGATTACTGGGGAGTCATGTGCAAGGAGTTTAGGAGTAAGGACTGGGCAGAAACAAGGACTAAACAGATCTCATGTGGCTCTAGGACAAGATGAAGAATCAGAAATTGAGATTAAGGGCAGAGTTTACAAAGCTGCACGACTTCCTGGCTGAAGAAGAGCAACTGTTTCTTCAGAGACTGAGCAAAGAAGAAGAAGAGACTGAGAAGAAACGGACTGAGAACACATTAAAGCTCCATCAAATAATCACTTCCTTGAAGAAGCTCATCTTAGAGGTCAAGGAGAAGAGCCAGAGCTCCATCCTGGAGTTGCTTCAGGTGAGACAGGCAGGGGAGGGGTTAGTTAACATCACTAATTGAATCCTCTTGTGTTTAGAGCTGAATGTCTTTCTTAGTGAGTGGATTTAATAGAAGAAATGTTTTCTCTCTGTTGATGATTGTATTACTACTATCATTATACAATTAAAGAATCAAAGATTTACTATTCAAAGGAAATTAATGTAAAATGTAGGTATGATTCACTTGGTCCAATAGTTTATTTAGGATCTGAAGCATATCTAAGACTTTTCTATTTGTCTTATTTATACATTTGTACAGGGTGGGGCAAAAGTAGGTTTACAGTTGTTCATATAGAAAAAGTAACGATAAGAGCAGATAATGATTTCACTGAAGCATTATTTGTGGTGGTAATGGTGTTGGGAACAACCTGGGTATCCATTACTGAAAGAGGGAACTGGCAAAAAGTGGACACATGGATTAAATGTATACATAGCATCAGGAATGGATCTTAAAAACATAATGCCTAAGGAAAGCAAGAAACAGAATGCAACAAGAACTCATTGCATAAATTAAAAATACATAAACCTAAGTAATATTATGTATTTTGCAAGAAAGCATTAAAAAAATTAAGCACAACAAAACGGTTTTTATTTTCAATGTTTTTGTGTTTCTAAGAAGAATGAAAGTGAGTTATGAGCTAAAAGTGAAAGAATAAATGAAAGATATAAAAGGATGGAGGTGTGAGTATCAGTAAAATAAGTTCTCTGAGGCTCTGAGATTCTATGATCCAGTTCCATCTTTAAATATTTGCCTAATCTCGCACTTATGCTGGCTGATACATTTTTTTGTAAGCACTCTGCTGGCTCATGTGTATCTTTGAAGTTTTAGACTCTAACTAGACATTAAACCGACATTTAAAAAAGTGTTTAAATGTGTTATTTCAAAGGTTCTGCTAGAGTATATTTTTGGATATGTAATTGGAACTTCATTGCCCATGCAAGTTGTAAATATTATAGACAGTTCTTGGAGATCATTACATTTAGATACCATACATGTATTTAAGCTATGCTTTCATCTTTAAGTATTGCTTAACTGTGTCCACAAATTTTGACAATATTATTTTTATTATAGTAAAATAAACATGTTTAAAAACATTTTAAGTATAAAATCCAGATGAAAATATATAAATCACAAGCTTGACAAATTATCACCAAGTGACCCACCCATGTAACCACCACCTAAGTCAAGAAGTAGAACATACCCTAGCCTGTTTTGCTCAGTGGTTAGAGCATCAGCCTGTGGATTGAAGGGGCCTGGGTTCAATTCCGGGTAAGGTCACATACCTCGTTTGCAGGCTTGATCCCTGGCCCTGGTTTGGGTTCATGTGGGAGGCAACCAATTGATGTGTCATTTTCACATTGATATTTCTCTCTCTCTCTCCCTCTCCCTCCCTCCCTCTCTGTCTCTCTCTCTCTTTCTCTCTTTCTCTCCCTTCCACTCCCTCTGAAAAGCAATGGGAAAAAAATATCCTCAAGTGAGGATTAAAAAAAAAATGAGGGAACACAAGTAGCATTCCAGAAGCCCTCCTTCATGCCCCCAATCAGTATCCTTTACCACCTCCTCAGAGCTAGTCTCCTTTCAGACTTCTCACACTGTTTTGTTTTCCCTGTTTTTGAATAAGATTCTTTTAGTATGCACTCTTTTTTTTTTATCCTTACCCAGGGAGTGAGGATATTTTTTCCATTGATCTCCAGAGAGAGCAGAAGTGAGGGAGAGAAAAGAAAGGGAGAGAAACATTGATGTGAGACACATTGACTGGTTGCCTCCCACACGAGCCCCAGTGGGGGGCTGGGCATCAAACCTGCAACCCAGGTATGTGCCCTTGACTGGGAATCAAACTGGAGACCCTCCAGTGCGCAGGCCAACACTCCTAACCACTGAGCCACGCCAGCCAGGGCTCAGTATGCACTCTTTTGTGTCTGGCTTATTTTGCTCAATACTACATTTGTGAGATTAATTCACGTTGTTGTAGGTAGCAGTAGATCATTTGTTTTCATCACTGCATAGCAGTAACTCTCAACCAGGAGCAATTTTGCTCTCCCAGCAAGCAATGTCTAGAGACATTTTTGGTTGTCACAACTCAAAGGCAGTTAATACTAGCGTCTAGTGTGTAGAGGCCATGGGTGCTGCTAAACATCCTATAATGCACAGAACACTCCTCCCCTTCAGCTCCTAGCAAAGACTCATCCAGCCCAAAGTGCTGAAGTTGAAAATCCTCTGTGTAGTATGTTATCGCTTGGTATCAGCCCCCTCCATCCCCAAAGATACCAAAATCTATGGATGCTCAAGTCCCTATTATAAAATGGCATAGTATTTGTATATAACCTATGCATATCCTCCTGTATACTTTAAATCATCTCTGGATTACTTATATATCTAATACAATGTAAATAGTTGTTATACTATATTTTTTAGGGCATGACCAAAAAAATGTAAGTGTTTAGTAACATGGTAGGCCTAACTACATAGTCAGCAACAATGTAACACATTTTTTAATCTTTTCTATCTGCAATTGGTTGAATCCATAGATGCAGAACCTTGGATACGAGGATTGACAGTATTCCATTGTATTAATATAGGAAAAGATATTATTCATTTTACTGTTAGCAAAATTTGGGTTGTTTCTAGTGTTTACAGTTACCAAAAAGCAGTTTAGAACATCTTTTTTGGTGCACTTATGTGTACACTTTCTGACAGTTATGTACCACTGAGAGCAATTTCTGATCACAGCAGTTGTACCAGTTTACACCATTGCTAGCAATGTGTGAGAGATCCAGTTGCTTTATATCCTCATCAATACTTAGAATTGTCAGTTCTTTAATTTTAGCCATCCTAAATGATGTATGATGTTATCTCATACCCTTAATCAGCACCTCTTCCGAAAAAGGTAGATGGCATTTGATGACTAATGAGGGTACTTTTCAAATGGTAATTAACCATTTTGATATATTCCCTTTTTTAAAAAATATGTCTTTATTGATTTCAGAGAGAGGAAGGGAGAGGGAGAGAGAGAGAGAAACAACAATGAAGTTTGATTGAGCCCGGAACCTGAACATGTGCCCTGACCAGGAATCAAACTGTGACCTCCTGGTTCATAGGTTGATGCTCAACCACTGAGCATGCTGGCCAGGCAATATATATTCTGTTTTTAAAAAATAAACAAAATAGCTTTCTTGATATAAAATTCACCTATTTTAAGTGTACAGTTGAGCGATATTTATAATTTTATCAAGTTGTACAATCCTTACCACAATCCAGCTTTAGAGTATTTCCATAAGATCTGTTTGTGTTTGTTTACAGTTAATCTCTATTCTTACCCCCAGCCTCATACAACCTACTTTATGACTCTGTAGATTTTACTTTATTGAGTATATCACACAGTCATATAATATGTGGTCTTTTGTGTACATAGTCTTTCATCTAGTATGTTTTTGAGCTTCATTTATGTTGTAGCATATATTATTATTGCATTTGCATTCCTTTTTAAATTCCTGAATAGTATTCCATTGTAGAATATACCACATTTTGTTTATCTTTTTACCAGTTGATGGGCATTTGGGTTGTTTCCACCTTTGGGCTATTATGAATAATGCTGCTGTGAACATTTGTCTGCTATTGTTCCTGTGAACATATGTTTTGATTTCTCTTGGGTAGATAGTAGGAGCAGAATTGCTGGGCAGTATGGTATATTTATATTTAACTTTTTAAGAAACTGCCAAACTGTTTTCCAGAGTAGCTGAACCATTTTATGTTCCCATCACATCCTCGCCAACATTTGTTATTGCCTCTGATTGAAGAGAATAGATGCAGAGTTAATGTCATAGTTCTAAAAGAGAAAGAATAGGGTTTCAAGAAAGGAATTGATTGACGTTGTCAAACAGTACAGAGGGGTCACATGAGAAAAAAACTATATTGTGTCAATGTACTGGCTTTGGCAGCATGAGATCATATGTGGCATAAACAAAAGCAACTGACAGAAAATACCCACTTACAAAGTTGAGTATCAGATCTCAAGAGGACGATATGTAACTTACTTATTTCTTTTCTCTCCTCTTCACAGAATCCAAAAGATCTTTTGGCCAGGTATGAACTCCTTCTTTCCTATAGGAGCCTGAGTGTACAGCTTGAGCAGAGGGGAAATAAGGCTGAGCTCTGTAGATCAATCTGGGCACACCTGGAGGGGTCTGTGGAGGAGGAATGTTGATTACTTTTGCAAGAAGGAATAGAAAAGAAGTTGTCTAAGCTTTGGGCTTGGAACCTTCACATGGGAGTTGGGGGTCTTAGCTGCCCTAGTTGTCTCCTAAGAAGAGCAGTCTTCTGTACTTTTTTTTTTTTTAGGAGTGAGAACCAGGATGTAAACTATTCCCTCGAATTCCTAGAGGTGAAGACTGTGTGCCATATACCAGTGATGAAAGAAATGCTGAAGCGATTCCAAGGTGAGCAGAATTTCTAGGAGTTGGAGCTCCCTGTAAGTCTTTTAAGAGAATAAAATTCCTGATTTTTAAAAAAGAAGACAAACTAGAGAGATGGAAAGTGGGAGGGAAGAGAATTTGGAGGCAGGGAGGCCAGGGAGAATGTTACAGAGTTGAAGTGAGAGATGCTGAAGGTCTAAGTAAAGACAGTGGCAGTGGGTATGGAGAGGAAGAAAAGCACCTGACATGTATTTCAGAGGTGGATTGATATGACTTGGTGACTAATTAGTTACTGAGGGTCAGAGGGAAAGAAGAGTCAAATAACCTCAAGATTCCGAAGTGTGAATGTTTGGGTGGAGGTAATAATCTTATACCTTAGAGAACATAGAAGACAGTGATATCCGCATTTGTGGGGATTAGTCCCAAGTGGGTAGAAGGGGACTTAGGATAATGAGTTCCTTTTTGAGCTATCAGTTGGGGACCTGTGGAGGTGCCCAGTGAACAACTGGAACCAGTCAAGAGAAACCTTGTTAATGATGACATCCATGTATACTTGTACAAAGGACCAGCCAGTCAACAGCCTTGGTCTAATTCTGATTCAACAAGTCAGAATTTGTTAATGTTTCTCCAAATTTTATGCTGATTGTGAAGACTTAGGGCCATGATCTAATGAGCTCCCCATCTTTTAGGTTTTAGTTTTTTGGAGCAGAAGGGAAATGAGATTTCAGGTTGCTACAGGCCGTACTATGGACCGCTAGGCCTGCCTGAGGAATAGTTGAGAGGTAATGAAGAGTCTCATCCCTGACAGTACTTGTTAGGAGGAGAGGATGGAACTGAAGATGGAAAAGATGGGTGTTTCTGGAGGAGGACTGGTGGTAAGCTCTTACATTATTTATCTCAGCTCTCATTTTCTCTGCAGTGGCTGTCAATGCAGCTGAAGAAACAGCTCATCCCCACCTTGTCTTCGCCCAGGAAGGGAGGTACGTGAAAAACAGAACACCAGCTGGTACTATGTCATTTTCTACAGCATGGAACTACTTTACTGGATGGAGGAATGCTCAGCAGTCCAAACCCTTTGTGGAGAGATTTCAACACTTACCCTGTGTTTTGGGAAAAAACATTTTCACTTCAGGGAAACATTACTGGGAAGTTGAGAACCGAGATAACCTGGAGATTGCTGTGGGGGTGTGTCTGGAGGAAATCATGGGGATTGTTAATAATTCAGAAATGGCTCCTCATTTGGGCATCTGGGCTATTTGTTGGAGTTCTGCCGGCTATTGGCCCTTAACAGGCTCCCCTGTAAGTCCCACCAGGCTACAGCCAGCTCTTCACCGGGTAGGAGTTTTCCTAGATTGTGGCACTGGGGATATCTCATTCTACAATGCTGTCGATGGAGTGCACCTACACACTTTTTCTTTTTCTTTTGTCTCGTGTCTCCGGCCGTTCTTTTGGTTGAGCCCATTAGCATCTTTATTCATCCCACCAGTGACTGGTGGGAAATGAGGCTATTCTTTCTCTGCCCAAGAATCCCTACCTATATCTCAGCCCCAGGGTCATCCATTTCTTGGCCTTCTTTCACTTTATATTGATCCTTGGTAGCACATCAGTACTATTCATTCAGACTCAAATTTCATGTTTTGTTCAAATTCCTGTATGTCCTGTGCATAGACAGATATGGCAGATCCTGTTAGTTGCCTTTCTAGTAGCCACTTGCCTCACTTCTCAGCTTCTCTTCTGGTTCTTTCTAATTGAACTGTTTGGTGTGTGCCCTCTATGTGCTTCAGGAGAAGCAGTCCCTTGTGAGGTAATTCTGGCCAATGAGATAGGTTGGGAAATTTTCCTAGGTGGGGAAAAGTTCTGGGGAATGTTTTTGTAGCTTCTAAAAGGAGGTATTTGGGAAGACATAGCCCTTTTCTGATGTTAGCAGCCATATTGGAACTGCATACGGAGAGTACGGTCGCAGTGGAAAGGAAGAAGAAACATGGCCTTTGCTGGCATCATCAAACTGTTGGAATTTCCCTAATCCCAAACTCCTTGTTACTTGAGATTATTGCTCCCTTTTTATATAAGGCAATTTTAGTTGCATTTTGGTTACTTGCCGTCTAAAGTATCCTAACTGGTGCTATAGGCACGTAGCATAGATATCCTACAATTTAGGCTTATCTCACTTTTCCTGAAACTTGACAAATGTATGGAATCCAAATTCACTTCAGTTGTATAATTCCTCTTTCTAGTAAGTACTGATATCCCTCATTTTTCTGGATCAGAAAACTGAAGCAGTCTTCCCTTACCCTGCCCATGCTATTACTCTCTTCATCTGACCAGGTCTTGGCCTTCAGGTGTTCATTATGCTATCCGCTTGTCAAATTCATATATTGTATATACACGTTTATTAATATAGTGAAAATGTTGAAAAACATTTAAGTATTTACACTTTGCTAGCTTCTTTACAGAATGCTTTCATATGACTCTTGTAGCAGCTCAGTGAGATGGAGAGTAAACCCTATTTTTACAAGTGAGAAAACAAACCGTTAGAGTAACTCACACATTATTGCTTAGCTGGAAAATGGGAGTGTTGGGATTAAATTCAGATCTGTTTGAGATGAAAGCCTGCACTTTTTTTCTACTCTACATTTATTTGTAAGTATTTGTTGAATGTAGATTGTGGGTCAGCATCATCTTTGTTTCTTATTTTCTTATATGTTTTTATCCTATATATGTATTTTTTCACTTTACTTTTCTACTCTCAATTGTAAGCACTCAAGAGGATTGTGAAAGTTACTGGATAGTTATTTTTAAAGTAATGATTGTTTCTGATACAACGCGGCAGTGATGCCAGCTAGACAGGCA